CCGGGATTTTTAAAAAAGTGTCTTTATGTGATCAGAAAGTCATATAAAATTTTAAATTATGCACACAGATTTGTGCTTTTAACTCTGAGTTTCAACTACCAAGAAAAAATTGTAAAAAACAACTCCTCTTCAACAAGAGCTTCTGTTCCCTAGGCATACATGCATATCGGGCACTAAGACCAAGGCCTATGTGCTCTTTCTGATAATAATCACCACCCCAATGATGATCAGCCAGTTTCCAGGCTCACAGCTTATCCATATTCTGCTAACAAATGATACTGCCAGACACCCTGCAATCCTAGTAATCTTTGGAACTTTGATAACCGCCATTTTACCTGCTACCTCTATTGTGCTATTTGAAAAACATTAGATGCTTTTCTGTATACACTGTACATTTTTGGAATGTTTTACTTAAAACCTGGCATTGGCTGGGCGCAGTGGCTCAAGCCTCTAGTTTTGGCCCTGACTCACTGAAGCCTGCCCACAGTGCAACATCAACTTTGCCTCGTTATCTGTTTAGGAAGGGTACATGATTTGGGAGGATGAGGTGGGCAGATCACCTGAGGTCAGGAGTTTGAGACCAGCCTGGACAACATGGTGAAACCCAGTCTCTACTAAAAACACAAAAAATAGCTGGGCATGGTGCCATGTGCCTGTAATTCCAGCTACTCAGGAGGCTGAGACATGAGAATTGCTTTAACCCGTGAGGTGGAGGTTGCAGTAAGCTGAGACAGCACCACTGCACTCCAGCCTGGGTGACAGAGAGAGATGCTGCTTCAAAAAAGAAAAAAAAAAAGTAACCATTAGCTAACAAAGATTTAATTTATGGAGACAAGTACCTCAGTATGCCTGGCAACAGCCACCCATAATAGGTGGGAAAATACTGAATTTTGAAAATATCTGCGGCTTATTATTAAGATCTTTTTTAAAAATTTCTTTTGAAATGGAGTCTTGCTCTGTCTCCCAGGCTGAAGTCCAGTGGTGTAATCTAGCCTCACTTCAACCTCTGCCTCCCGAATTCAAGCGATTCTCCTACCTTGGCCTCCCAAGTAGCTGAGATTACAGGCATGTGCCACTGCACCTGGCCTAGTTTAAGATCTTAAGAGATATCAAATTCCCATTAAAATACATTTTAAAGGTTATGATGACAAAACAAAAGAGCATGCCATAAAAATAAAACCCAAAGTATCTAATCTAGGATCAACCTCTAAATCTAAGGACAGCTTAGCCCAGCTATTTCAGGGACTGGGTAGATCTAAATGGGCACTGTGCTGTGTTAACCGCCTGCCCAGAAGATGAAGGACATATTGACACTAACGGGCAACCAGAACCCCCAGGCCATTTGATGGGAAAAATTTATAGGATTTTCCTCTGGCAAATCAAGCCCTCACACAGAAGGGCCACCTCAGAGCACTTCTGTGTTTTTCTTGATGAGATGGTTTAAACAATAGAAAAGGAATGACAGGGCTGGGCACGGTGGCTCGTGCCTGTAATTCTAGCACTTTGGGAGGCTAAGGCAGGTGAATCACCAGAGACCAGGAGTTCAAGACCAGCCTGACCAACATGGTGAAGCCCCATCCCTACTAAGAGTACAAAAATTAGCCAGGCAAGGCGGCACATGCCTCTAATTCTAGCTATTCAGAGGCTGAGGCAGGAGAATTGCTTCGACCTGGGGGGTGAAGGCTGCAGTGGGCCGAGATCCCACCTCTGCACTCCAGCCTGGGTGACAGAGGGAGACTCCCTCTCAAAAAAATAAATGAATAAAATAATGACAGGTTTTGTTATGTAGTAACAATAAAATGTGCTTGAGTACTTTTTTTTTAAAAATAATATCACCCAGATTTGGGGGTAAGAGGGAAGAAAGCTGCAAACAGCAGAAACACTAAAGGTACTAAACATCAAATGAATACGGTTCATGCAGAAGTAACTCACCCTCAGACAGTTTATGAAGGTGTTGTGTAGGTACCAAAAACCTTAAAAACCTCTGACTCGGCCAGGCGTGGGTGGTAGTTCACATCTATAATCCCAGCATTTTGGGAGGCTGAGGCAGGCAGATCACCAGAGGCCAGGAGATTGAGACCATCCTGGCTAACAGGATGATTATTGGAGATTAAGTAGAGGTGGGGTTTCATACTGGCCAGTTTTACCATATTGGCCAGGCTGGTCTCAAACACCTGACCTCAGGTGATCCGCCCACCTTGGCTTCCCAAAGTGCTGGGATTACAGGCGTGAGCCACCACGCCCAGCCTGTAACCCCCATCTCTACTAAAAAATACAAAAATTAGCTAGGCGTGATGGCAAACCTGTAATCTCAGCTACTCAGGAGGCCAAGGCAGGAGAATTGCTTGAACCCGGGAGGTGGAGGTTGCAGTGAGCCAAGAGATTGCACCACTCCAGCCTGGGACAGAGCGAGACCCCATCTCGAAAACAACAAAAAAGAATTAAGTTAGGTAGCCTGTGACTAACCATGTCAGTGAATACCAGTCACTGCACTTAGAAATCAGGTCTGCCTTCCTTCTTCATTGCCATCTCCCCCAAACCTAGGCATTGCATGGTAGGTCAACATGATCAACTAATGGTATACACTGCCATTAACACTCAATATATTACTAAGAAGAAAGCAATTTAAAGAACATGAGCCTATTTTTAAAATGGATATAAAATTATACATCTGGTCCACATCTGCAGGCATGGAGCCTCTCCTAAACTGCTTTTTTTTAGGTGTGGGTTGGTGGGAGGTTCCTCTTCCCATTCTTATCTTAAAGGGAAACACACTATTAATGTAACTAATTACAATAACAATATAGGAGTACTGTCCCTTTGTAAAGAATCCAAAAAATTTAGGCAGGAATGGTGGTTCCACCTGGAATCCCAGCATTTTGGAATTTTTGGTGTAGTTTTTATTTTCCAGGATCTAAAATTAATTTTCAACTCTCTATAAGTCTGTTATACTCGATTAAAATATTTGTTTAGAGGTGGGGCGCAGTGGATCATGCCAGTAATCCCAGCACTTGGGGAGGCTGAGGTGGGCGGATCATCTGAGATCAGGAGTTTGAGACCAGCCTGGCTAACACGGTGAAACCCCGTCTCTACTAAAAAAAAAAAAAAAGCAAAAATGAGCTGGGCGTGGTGGCACACACCTGTAATACCAGCTACTCAGGAGGCTGAGGCAGCAGGATGGCTTGAACCCAGGAGGCGGAGGTTGCAGTAAGCCGAGATCGTGCTACTGCATTCCAGCCTGGGCATCAGAGTGAGGGTTTGCCTCAAAAAAAAAAAAAAAGAAAAAAAAAAAAAACGTGTTCAATATCATTTATTAGTGACAGCATTAAACTTGGTTGATATTACAGTTTCCTTTATCAGCAGCATGAAAAAAAAAAAGAAAATAAAGATATTACAGTTTCCAAAGGCTATTTGATGAACAAGAGAAATGTGACAGAGTTTTAAAGTGGAGGCTCTGACTTCTTTTCAAAGGAAGTGCACTTCATTTTTGGAAAGACGCCAGCTTAACAACACTGGCAACTAGTTACTTGGAGCAAAGCAGCACATATTCCACCGGACTAGGTGGGACCTCTGGGTGGACTCATTTTAACCATATAATTCAGCCATTTCATGTTCTTCTCTAACAAAAAGTGAAGTATTTTAGGTTAGTGAGAGTGGATCAAAATCTAAATAGTTACTCTGAAAACATCCTTTTGGAAGCTGTCTTTTCTTTCTGGAATCTCAAACTGCTGCTATAGAGGAACCGAAACTTGTTAAATCCAATGGCTTCAGGCGCCACTCTAATAAACTACCTACATCTTAATCAAGCAGGAGAGCTCTGCTGGCCACTGCAGATTTCCTCCATCACAAGGTAAAAGGCTGGTGCCCTAGCAGGAGAATCTGGCAGCCAGAGGGCACAGTGAAGGGTACAGAGGGAGATTCAACAAGACAGAGCCATCTATTTCACAGTCAGCTTCCACAGAGGCTGCTCCAGCATGCAACTCACCCGGTTCCGAATAGAAAGAGAAATTTTCAAAGACCATCTCACTAAAAACAGTAAGTAAAAGTCACTGAGCATAAATTCATGTTTTAAAAAATTATCCTTCTTGGCTTAAAAAACGTGTGAGACAAAAAAAAAAAAAATGGCCAGCTTGTTTAAAATTTCCGAGAAAGACAAATTTATATGAAGAGTGGCTTAATTTAAGAATGCTTCCCCCTTGTGTTACTCTCAAAGGAAGTCTCTGCCGGGTGTGGTGGCTCACGCCTGTAATTCCAACACTTTGGGAAGCCAAGGAGGGTGTATCACTTGAAGTCAGGATACCAGCCTGGCAAACATGGCAAAACCCCGTCTCTAGATAACAGCCCAGCCAAAATGGTGAAACCTCCTTTCTACTAAAAACACAAAAAAATTAGCCAGGTGTGGTGGCAGGCGCCTGTCATCACAGTTACTCAGGAGGCTGAGACAGGAGAATCACTTGAACCTAGGAGGCAGAGGTTGCAGTGAGCCTAGAGATCACACCACGACACTCCAGCCTGGGTGACAGAGACTCTCTCTCTCTCAAAAAACAAAAAACGAAACAAAAAAAGAGAAGTCCCAATGGAGACATGAAAAGAACGGTTGCAAAGGAATGATCTGAAAGGAATGAATGAGAAACTCTTCCTATCTATGAAGACCCACCAAAGGTTTTGGTTAGAGAAAGTAACCTGGTGACTGCCCACAATACAAGTACAAAAAAGCTCAGGGACGCTTTCATCAGTCATCATCTGTTTCTCAACCACTGTTGTAAGGAACATATCCAGGTAGGAATCCAAGCTGCAACTAACACTACTCAAGTTAAGATGATCATCCAGGATAAACGATTTGATTTTATGCAAAATATACTACACTCAAAAATTGCTGTGCCAGGCCCATGAGGTCCTCAAATTACGACTCCAAACATCTGGAAGACTCCAACAGAACCCCAAGCCACCGGCTGTGATAAAGGAAAAAAGAAAATTACTAATACTCAGAAATAGTTTACCTTCTATTCACGGTGGGTGCTGGCGGGGAGGTGGCGAGGGCCACCGAGGTGAAAATCATCTCCCTTTCTAGCCTCAGAACTCAACCTCCTAAAAACGCATTGTCTCCACTGGAAAAAAATTAAGGTGCCTGACGATCGACCTAAGGCAGCTTTCAAAACAAGGAACACCTAACAATTCTGCGGTCTCCGGCGTTGGAAGCATCCACCAGCCGGCGAGAAGTCTATTAACACACCTTCCAGACCTCATATTCGTGCGGGTCCCTGGCTTGGCCACCGCACGTGTGGCCGCCAGCATCACCGTCCCCAACACCCTCCAGGCCTTGCTGGCGTCCAACGCCCGCAGCCCTTTTTGTCCGTCCGGATGACCTCCCGCGCTGCCCTGAGGAACCCCGGGCACACGCGAGCATCAGGGATCCTGCCCTGGGCTCTGAGGCGCTGCGCTTCGGGAAAGGCCCCGGGAGAAGGTTGGGGGGTCGCGCCACCGCGTCCAGGCAGGACCGCAGCGGAGCCACACTCACCAGCCACTGATTGTTCAGAATGGGAAAAGGCTGGGGACGCTGTGGGGAGGAGGATGGGCGGCGGGGGTGGCGCGACCGCACGGGGCGCAGCCGCCCTCGGGGCTGCGGTCAGGATGGGGGTAAGGAAGGCCCGACAGCCCCCCCGGCCCTGCCCACCGGTCCCCGACGCCGGGACTTCCTCCTCCCGGGCGCCGGCGCCGCAGCCCGGGTAGGGCCGGTAACAGCGGCGGGAGGCCGGGGCCGAGCCCGGCGCTGAGGCCGAAGGGACTGCCGGCGGCGGGGCACGAGGCTGGGCCCGGCGACTCACCCGCCGGCGAAGAGGTGAAGCAGCGTGTTCTCCTTCTGCCGGCCGTCGGTCGCCATGGCCGCGCCAGCTCCGCGGCCCGCCGCCACCCGGTGCTCACAGCGCGTGGCGGCTCGAGGGATGCGCTAGGTCGCCGGGTCCGGTCTCCTAGCTGCCCTCAGGGGGCCGCCAGCGCCGCCTCCATGCGCGCGCCGGCCCCAACGCCCGGCTCCGCTCGGCCAGCTACCTCCGCGGCGTGGCCGCCGGCGCCTCACCGGCCTCTACGGCGCGAGCCCGGCGGGGAGCAAGAGCACGGCGCGCGGCCGTCACGTGGCGGGGGCCGTGCCGTGACGTCACGGGGCGCGCGAGTCGGGGGCGGGGCGTGACGGAGGTGTGGGCCCAAATCCCAAGCGCCCATTGGCTATGGGGCGGATGTGGGCGGGAAGATCGCACGGTTCTGGGGCGGAGCCAGCCCTTAGCGGATGGCTGGGGAGAGGGGTGGCTTAGGCCGGAGCGTGGAGGCAGTGGAAACTGGCTGTGACTGCATGGTCCTCGCTCCTCAGAGAAGCCTCGCAAGGCCTTAGGCGTTGCCTTATTTTAAAAGTTTACTTTGTGATATTTACGTGTGCAAAAAGGTGTTCAGATTACGTGTTACATCTCACATCTCTGAACTTACCACCCAGTTTAGGGGACCCCCCCCCCGCCCCAGCCACAATCTAAACAGTCTCAAATAATCAGTGAGGCCCTGCACGGTGGCTCACGACTGCTATCCCAACGCTTTGGGAGGCCGAGGCGGGCGGCAGGGCGGGTGGATCGCCTGAGGCCAGGAATTAGAGACCAGCCTGGGGCCAAGATAGAGAAACCGTGTCTCTACTAAAAACACAAAAGTTACATGGCCACAGCGGCCCAGCCCTGTAATCCCAGCTACTTGGGTGGCTGAGGCTGGGGAATGGCTTGAGCTCGGAAGGCAGAAGCTGTAGTGAGCCAAGATCGTGTCACTGCACTCCAGCCTGGGCCACAGAGCAAGACTCTGTCTCAAATAATTAATAATCATTATCATTATGTGCATTTTTGATCTCCCTTGAAGTAGTATTATATGCTGCGTATATTTCACAGCATGCTTTTTGCTTCCTTTCTGATCATTTCCAGCCCAGACCTAGACATCCAAATTGTTAGGTTTCTGGGTCATTGTCAAACTCAGCCTGACCTCTAATCTCCAGGTCTCCCCCAGATGGAGCCTTCCCTGGCCGCCTCTGCAGGGCAGTCTGTCACATGACTATTGAACCAGACTCCTGCGGTTCCTTTGTTGATTTCTGTAAGTTTTCCTTCCCACACAGCAAGGTAAGCTTGAGGAGAGCAGGGACCTTGTTTCTTTTGTTCATCGTTGTTCCCGACACGGTAGCTACCACCTAGTAATGGCCAAGGAACTAATGAATAAAGGTCCCAAATTGAACTTATCCTTTTTCCCCTCCCCCAAACCTGCTCTCCCTCTCCTGTTTCCTGTCCTGGCAGTGACATCACCGACTGCACAGGCGCCAGTGCCAGAAACTTTCCTGTTACCTTGGACTCTATCTCCCTGTCTCTCTCTCAGCAGCCCATCATTTACCCGTAGAACATACCAACCCTTTCTCTTCTCTCAGAGCTGCTGAAAGCTGTACCTTGACCAGAACAAGCAGTTAGATGTCCTGTGTGTAAACATACAGAGCTTAAGTAGGAGGGAATTGTGTGGAAACATAGGAGTTAGCAAGCCAATCTGTATTTGATTGCTGGGACTCTTTAAATAAAAACAGCTCTCAGGAGCAGTCCTCCAAAATGCAAATACAGTGATTACTTTATTAAAGCCATTGCTCCTAGGCCTAGGAGAAGGGGAAGCCATCCTAGGGAATGAGATATCTGATATCTGACAAAAAGAAGTAAAGAGACCTGGCCTAGCGGCTCTCGCCTGTCACCCCAGCATTTTGGGAGGCTGAGAAGAGCGGATTGCTTGAGTCCAGGAGCTCAAGACCAGCCTGGACAACGTGGCAAAACCCCATCTCTACAAAAGAAAAAAAAAAAGTAACTGGACACAGTGGCTTATGCCTGTAATCCCACCACTTTGGGAGGCTGAGGCCAGCAAAACCAGCCTGGCCAACATGGTGAAACCCTGTCTCTACTACAGATAGAAAAATTAGCTGGGCATCTTGTTGTGCACCTGTAGTCCCAAATACTTGGGAGGCTGAGGCAGGAGAATCACTTGAATTCAGAAGGCAGAGGTTGCAGTGAGCCAAGATTGTGCCACTGCTCTCCAGCCTGGGTGGCAGAGTGAGACCCTGTCTCAAAAAAAAAAAAAAAAAAAAAGTAAAAATAAATAATTTTTTTATTTTTTATATATTTTTTAGTATGGAGTCTTGCTTTATCCCCTAGGCTGGAATGCAGCGGTGTGATCTCGGCTCACTGCAACCTCCACCTCCTGGGCTCAAGCAATTCTGTCTCAGCCTCCCAGGTAGCTGGGATTGCAGGTGCCCACCCCCGCACCTAGCTAATCTTTTTTGAGTAGAGAAGGGGGTTGGGGGGTGGTTTCACCATGTTGGCTGGGCTGGTCTCGAACTGCTGACCTCAAGTGATATCCCTGCCTAGGCTTCCTAAAGTGCTAGGATTACAGGCTTGGGCCACCACGCTGGATCTCTGGGCAGGATTTGAAGCCCTAGGAGGTGCCATTCTTGGAGCATAGCCCTTCGTCTTGGCTCCTTGCTCACAGAGGTGTTTGAGGCTGGGACCCAAGCTCTTAACTCCAAGGTAGCAGCTGGCCTCCTGCCTTCTTTTCCCAAGTGTTGTCCGTCCAGTGCTGTGTGCCCACAACGATAGATCTCCCCACCTCCTTGTCAGAGTTGTCTTCTTATTAGAATGTTCCTGGCCGGGCACGGTGGCTCACGCCTGTAATCCTAGCACTTTGGGAGGCCGAGGTGGGTGGATCACCTGAGGTCAGGAATTCAAGACCAGCCTGGCCATGATGGTGAAACCCCATCTTAAAAAAAAAAAAGAAAGAAAGAAAATTAAAAAAAAAAAATGTTCCTAAGGCGTTTCACGTTTTGTTGCTTTTAAGACCTTCCCAAGGTCCCATTGGATACTCACAATGTTTGGTAGCCCAGTTGCTTTCCTTGCCTTTTTATTGATAAGCAGGATAGATTTGCCCAAGGTCACCCAGCTACATAGCGGCTGATGCAATGATCTGTCATGCCCTGAGCTTTTGAACCTGCTGGGTTTTGCAGTTGTTCTTTTAAGAGGAGACCTCACTCTGTCACCTATGGTGGAGTGCAGAGGCGTGATCTCGGCTCACTGCAACCTCTGCCTCCCTCGTTCAATTGATTCTCCTGCCTCAGCCTCCCAAATAGCTGGGATTACAGATGTATGCCACCATGTTTGGCTCATTTTTGTTTGTTTGTTTGTTTGTTTTGAGATGAGGTCTCACTCGGTCACCCAGGCTGGAGTACAGTGGCACGATCTCGGCTCACTATAATCTCTGCCTCCTGAGTTCAAGTGATTCTCCTGCCTCAGCCTCCCCAGTAGCTGGGACTACAGGCATGTGCCACAACGCCCAGTTAATTTTTGTATTTTTAATTGAGACGGTGTTTTGCCATGTTGTCCAGGCTTGGACTCCTGACCTCAGGTAATTTGCCCACCTCCACCTCCCAAAGTGCTGGGATTACAGGCATGAGCCACCATGCCCGGCCTGAACCTGCTCTTTTCCCTGCCTAGGATGACCCCCTTCCTCTGCCGGCCAGACTTTAGAGCTTCTCTGACACCAGCTCAGGCAGTGGCCATGGCTGTGTGCTGGGTATATAACAGAGATTCCATGAAATATTGGCAATCAAATCCAGCAATACAGAAAAAGGATAATACAGCTGGGTGCAGTGGCTCACGCCTATAATCCCAGCACTTTGGGAGGCTGAGGCAGGTGGATCATGAGGTCAAGAGATTGAGACCATCTTGGTCAACAAGATGAAACCCCGTCTCTACTAAAAATACAAAAATTAGCTGGGCATGGTGGTGCGTGCCTGTAGTCCCAGCTACTTGGGAGGCTGAGGCAGGAGAATTGCCTGAACCCAGGAGGCGGAGGTTGCGGTGAGCCGAGGTCGCGCCATTGCACTCCAGGCTGGGTAGCAACAGTGAAACTCCGTCTCAAAAAAAAAAAAAAAAAAAAGAAAAGAAAAAAGAAAAAAAAGAAAAAGGATAAAACATCAGGACGAAATGAGAGATACCCAGGAATTAGAGGTTGGTTTAACATTCGAAATTCAATCCATATAATTCAGCATATTAAGAGAATAACGGGGACGTATGTTCTCAGGACCTCCTGGGGCTATGTCAATGGCAAAAGGAAAAGAAAAATAAAGAAAAATAAAACAGCGAAAGAGAAAGAGAGAGAGAATAGTGGAGAAAAATCAGATGACCATGTCAATTGACGCAGAAAAGCATTTGACAAAACTGAACACTTATTCATGAAAAAAGCTCTCAGCAAACGAGGAACAGGAGGGAATTCCTCTATCTGATATAAAGCATCTATGCCAAACCTACAGGTAGCATCACACACAACATTAAATAACTGACCATCTGCCCCCTCAGATTGGCAAGAAGCAGAGACATTTGCTCTTACCACTTACTCAGTGTTGTACTAGAGGCCCTAGTCCGTGCAGTAAGGCAAGAAAAAGAAAAAAATATGAAAAGATCAGAAAGAAGTGAAACTGTCTA